ACAGATGCTATTCTTGATTTCCGTAAGAGGGGTTCTTCATGTGGTACTGCCCTTGTCTGTTCATGAATTAAGAATGGAAAAATTTACATTTTTCACAAAGAGATTTTCCGCGATTTATTGGAGCGTATCGCAACTGGTTTTTTTCTTACGTAAGATATTATATGATATTAATGGAGATGAATAGAATTTAGTATTTAATATATTACATAATGCTTATAAAAACATTATATAATATATTTCTTAATAAACAAAATGCTTTGTTTTATTTTACGATGTGTTTCCAAAATTGTACACATTATTTTATTATTAAATATATTATTCAAATATCATTTAAACAAAATTTTTTAAATATGTATATTTTTATAGAAACGTAATAAGAAAAGAAAATTTTTGTTTAATCCTTTGTTATTGAAGCATCATTTATTTATTATGCATAATGAAATAACGCTGTACGTATCTAATGATACTATTCAAATATTTATTATCTGAGAATATTTTCCAAATAGTATCATAAATAAAACTGTGCAATATTACATTCTTTGACTTTTATTCGGAGCGCAAGATTTGTTGAATAAATATATTTGATATTTACTACTGTTTTGTGTAAGATTTAATGTCATTAAATGAGTACTACTATAATTCAAATTGTACTTTCTAAAGTAGTAAGCGTCCGTAGCATATTTAAATAAGCGACAGATGATTTGATAACCTATAATTTTTAAGATAATAAGACGCACTGTAATAATTTTTACGACTAAATTTAAAAAATATATTTCTAGATCGTAAAATGCATCAAATTTTTAATTCCATTATATATCTTTTTGATAAAAAATTAAACCATGGAATTTTATAGAACATTAATATATAATATTTAAAATTTAAATTCCTTCTTTACAATATTTATACCTGGATATAATACTTACATCACCGAAGCTGCTGATGGACAATTCTATCATATTTCCAGCAGTGAGCCTAGTAGTCGCATTGGACATACAGATTATCAAAATGACAGCAAGGCTCTTTTTTTCTGGAAGTCGGTACCAGTCAATCATGTACGAGCTTTCACGTACTTTTATAATCTATCATAAGATTTCTGCTATAGATGATGATATGATGAAATGCTTTTTAAATTATTTGATGTTATTACATATCGCCGTTTAAAGGACTCGTACATTGTGTAACATTGTTTTGAAAAATATTGGATGTACCTGTTCCGTTATAAGTTCGCCTATGTAACAAAATATGAATATGTTGAACGTAAGCGAAGCGAGGAGTATCA